GTTTGGTTAGCACAGGGGCTTGGGAGTAGGGGAGAATGGGAGATGTATGAATTGTATGCAAGCAGAAACAACAAACAGCTCCTTGGTGCTCTCCGCTCATGGATCATGGTGGATGTGGAGAAGTGGTCCATCTGTATCTGTTTGAACAATTCTGATGATGTAGTAGTTTTGCTTTGCACCACTATTATTTTGTAGGGCAAAATGAGGATGGTTGATGGACCCTTCCATTCCCATTTCCCATACTTTTCTGTCCCACGAACTAAAATGTTAGTGTTTGTCCTTTGGAGTGGAGGCCGTGGAGCAGTTGCGAGACCTAACGGACACCGACGTCACTCCTTCCCTCTCCCCTCCTGCCCCGTTACGTGTCTCGTCTCGGACACATGAAGCGAACCCACCATAGAGTTACAGACTTCATCTACCTCTCTTCTCTGGTTCATAGAGAGAGAGAGAGATGCACATCTCAATCTCATTGTATCGTTTAATCGATAATGTGATATGAGATGGGTGTATGTGTTGTATATAGATAATCAACATAGTTAATAAAAAAATGATGTTACTATGTCACAGAAGGGAATAGAAAAGAATAGAATAGAAAACTGGGGACAGAAGATTAGAGAGAGAGATAGACATGAAACGGAAGTGGTCTAGTTAGGAGAGAAGCGAAGTAGTTCTGACGACTGACATAGCCACTCATTCACGATCTCCACCGCCAGACCACGCTCTGTAGCCGGGCTGCGGCCGCCCTTTGGGTCAAGCACAAGCCCCCGTGCTCCCTCCCTCCATCATCTCTGCTGTCTAGATCTTTCTATGACCGTCTCTTTTCTTCTTCTTCCGGCGTTGGTTCTCTTTGTAATTGAACTGGGGTTTCTGAAAATTCTTTCGATGCTCTCTTTCACGATTTGGGTTGTTTGATCCGAGCAGGGAGATGGGATGGAACCCGTAATACAGGTGGAAGCATTTTTTTTTTCCTTCGCTACTGTACTTTGACTGAACTCGTTTTATCCTTCCTCCTGAAAACTCTCACGGATTGAGACGTGTCTCTCCTTCTCTCTTCCTCTCTCTTGTCTAGGAAGCCTGTTTTCTCTTTTATCTCGACGTGCAGCAACCGTACCTTCCCCCTATCAGACCACTTGCAGGAAAACAGGTTGGTATCTATTCCCTAGCATCTCCCTCTATCTCTATATCTCTATTATTATAACACTCATGCGAGATAAAATTCTAGAGAGAGAGGGAGGATAGATCAGTGAGATAAATTGATAGAGGGGAAAGGCTGAATATCTTTGAGAGATTATGTTGGGTTGGAGGTATCTTTCCTCTTAATTACTTAACAATCCTTTTTGTGTGTGTTTGGAGGCTGATTTTGGTTGGAGCGGAATCCACATTCAGGAAGGATCGCCGTTGTTTTCCTCCTTGCATAGATTCTCAAGGGGTACACGTTGAGCTCTCACTTCTGTCTACGGAAACGGCAAAGCACCTCCCCCAGAAATCCCGTATCCCCAATATCTTCATGCACCACCAGGCACCCGCTACTCTACTGTTCATCCTGAATTCACTCACCTCCCCGCCTGTCTCGCCTTCCCTCTGATACACATATAACAACAACAAATAGAGATTGTGTGCGTGAGAGAGAGAGAGAGAAAGAGAGAGAGAGAGAGAGAGAAATAAAGAAAGAAAGAAAAAAAAATATGCAGCAGGAGAGAGGTGGTGGTGGAGGAATAGCAGGAGCAGGAGCAAGGATAGACCAGATGAAGGGGTTGCAACAGCATGATCGCCGGGTGAAGCCACCGGAGAATCAACAACCACAGCAGCCTCAGAAATGCCCGCGCTGCGAGTCTCTCAATACCAAGTTCTGTTACTACAACAATTATAGCCTCTCGCAGCCGCGTTATTTCTGCAAGACTTGCAGAAGGTACTGGACTCAAGGAGGAACCTTACGGAACGTCCCCGTGGGCGGTGGATGCAGAAAGGGAAAGCGATCCAAGAGATCCTACCCGGCCGATAATCTACAGAGTCAACTGCCGTCGGTAACCCAGCAATCATCACAGCAGCAACAGTTCAGCTCCGCGGCGACCTCCACTTCAACTGTCATGACCACCACTGGTAGTAATCCTACTCTGAGGACCAAAGGCGCAGACTTGATGATCCCTTCTCCGATGCCTCCGATGGCACCAAACCCGTCTTCCGTGTACTACCCAAGTGGAGGGTCGTTTTTGTCTTCCTTGGCAGCGCTCCAATCGTTCAATCAGCCCATGAACGTCGGTGGAGATTTCGGGGGTTCCAATCTGGCTCTGCTACAGGGATTCAGTCTGCCTTCTTTCAGTGCCCAGCAGCAGCAATTGTTCCAGATGGGTGCTAGAGATAAGACCATACATCAACTGCTGCCTTCGGAGGAAAACGCAATTCAGCAAAGCAGGCCTTCAGCTTCTAATCAGGAGTGGCACCACCAAAGCTTCATCAACCCAATTACTAACTCCATCGCCTCCGAGGCGGGTTACTGGAGCAGCAACAACAGCAATAACAGTACAAGTGGCCCTTCCTTGAACCCGAGTCAGTGGGTTCGTCCTGATGCGCCAGGTTTTGTTCCGCCATCATCATCATCTTCACAATCTTTCTTATAACTACATCAAGCTTTATGGGCTGACTATATAAATTCAGGAATTCTTTTTTCCTTTTTTCCATACAGAAAACCATTAATTTGTTGGTGGGTTTGAGGGTGAATCTTATTGGTGGCATGGCATGATTATCAGCTGCATCATAGACATGGATTGATGGAAGGGTTAATTTCGATGTGGTCAACACCATGTAGATAGGGAGAAACAATTTTCTGGGTTTTGTTAGGTGGTTTTGATTTAATGAAATTGAACTTGTCTCTTCAGAGTAACTGTTACATCGGATTAAGCTTTATTTGGTCATTTGATTAATCTTTATATAGTTTCTAATCGAGTAGAATCTCTGTGAACTCTGAGAGCAATGAAGCTTTTCTTGGAATAGAAAAAAAATCAAAGTTTTTATACAGGGAGAGAGAGGATTTTGGTGTTGGCAAAGTGACAAGGTAGTTCGTTTAATTATTTTGTGCATACGCTTTATACTTTTTCTCTCTTTTTTTACAGTTTCTGAGTCTGTTCTTCTTCTCCTCTTTCTGCCATATTTGATTGATTGCTTTGTTTGTTTGTTTGTCTGTCTGTTTGTTTTTTTATTTGGGGTCTCACTTCACCGAGTTGATCCTTTCATCTGTTTCCCCCCTCTCTCTCTCTCTCTCTCTTTTCAAGTACGTTTTTTTGGGAAGAGTTACAGACAACACAGGATCAGACGGCCATAAATGCATGCATGCATGCTTTTCTCTTCCAGTTTACCTTAAAAGCACGTCTTTCGTTGGAATGGATGTTAGGTTGGTGGCCATAAATGCAAGCATGCTTTGTTCCCTCGCTCGATTTCTTGCAATTTTGTAAGGTTTCTCTCTGGCCTCTGCATTATAAGTGAAGAGATCGAGAGAATTGAGAATCTGGGAATGTGATAACATATATAAAGAAAAGATTACAGCGTTGGAGTGTCGAGTTGGGGAGGATGCCGGAGGCGTGGAGGATTGGCGGTGGCGGTGCGTAGGGAATAAAAGGAATGCGGTTTCCGAAGCGAAGCATATCTTTGGGGTGTGCAGAGTAAGATCTATTACACAGAGAATAAATGCGTGAAACCTGTGTGTGGGAACTGGGAACCTCCCCATCCAATCTCTCCCCCTGCTTTAGCCGTACAGCTCCTCTCGCTTCTGCCAGGTTCCACTCTATTCTCCACTCCACCATCTCTCTCTGTCTCTGGGCTTTTGGGGTTCTTAAAAGATGCCACGACTGTACTGTCAATGGGCCCACATGTGGGCATCTGCATTAGGTGGGGACTGAGAGGCCGGTGACAGAGAAAGTATGTGATGGGCTGGAATGGATGGTGGTTGTACTACATAGATTATCACAACCGTTATTGTAGCGGCTTCCATTGCAGATATACAGTGGGTAGGCTACGGAGTAGGCCTCTTGTTGCAGAGCAGAATTGCATGGGTTTGGTTTTGTTCTTTGTTCTTACTTCTTATTTTGTGTTTTGCTGGCTGGTTCTGAGGATGAGGGTGGACCATGGATGGGTGGGTGGGATTTTGATTTGGGGCAGTGACCTATCCCAGTTCTCAGAGCTGGTTGGTTTAGCTCTTAAATGGGTTTGCAGTGTTCATTGATATTAGGAAAAAAAACCAGAGATTGAGAGCTCCTTTCTCAAGACGAGAGAGGCTTGCGGATGCAGGTGGCCCCTCACCTTGGGAGGGGGCAGTCCAATGGTTAAACCTCAAAGTGAGGTCTCATACTCTCATTTCTCATTTCTCTGGCTCTTCAAAAAGTTTCCTTTTTTCAAAAATGAGAGGATTGATATATATATCATCCTTTACAAGTAACGTCATATATGTTTGGTTTGATAGAAAATAAGAGAGAAACACAAAATTGAGAAAATTCAGACTTTTCTATCAAACCACACAGCCTAAAGGAAAAAGGGTATAAAACTCAAGTTCAGTCTGTAAAAATGAATTTAAAATAAATAAAAAGAATGAAAGCAATGTTATTTTACGTTTTATTAATCCACCCATCTGAAATAAAAAATCCACATTCTTATGTGGAAAAAAGATGGTGCATGCCAAGAGAAATGAAGATGTTTATTACATCCATTTACACTTTGAACCTCATATGCTTTTAGTTGAATGGAGGAGGATAACCAAAGGAGGGTCTCCAAGAAAAATTATTTACCATGCTTTGATCCACGTGGCTATCCATGGACCATATATATTCTTGACTGGAATGACATCCCTTGGTTCTCCATCTGATATTTAGATTTTAGATTAACTTAATTATTTTGTTTATGCTTAAATATGGGTTAAAATTTTTCGTGTCTGCATGAAAAAGATTTCACCTATTAACCTGATTTTTTTTTTCTTTTTGTAAATGGAAAACATATAAGAAACTTGATTCTAATATTTCTATTTATTTTAACAATATTTCAAAAACTTGTTTTTTTTATTAATACCATAAAAGGGTTTACATGAATAATTTCGTCATTTAAGGAAATTCTATGACATTTACAAAAGCATGCTTTAGTAAAATTTTTAATAAATATTATGCTTTTTTAAAGTTATTGTTATCAAGTGTCTTGTGTGTCTATGATTAACAAAAGGAGATTAATATGAATTAGGAAACCATATTATTGTTAATGTTAGAAAAAGAATCTTTTGTTCAGGGGACAAGCCAGGATTGTTCATTTTGGAGCCCACTGTTTTAGGATGTATGGTTGGAATCCCCTTCAATCTCCAATCTATAAATACTAGTGGTGACTCGTGGAAATGCACGAACTGATTTTTGAAAATAAAATTTTAAGGGAAAAAATGAAGTAATAGTGATTGGTTAAAGTTTTCTTTTCCTTTTTAGTTATTGAACTTCAAATTTATTACTTTTATTATAGCTAAAAGAATGTGTTTAACGTTACATCAATAACCAAGTTAAAAAACAATTTCAAAATTGAAATAACAAACATAACAAAAGGCTCACGTTAAGTGCTTATTATTGTTGAACCTGAAGAATCTATGAAATAAATCTACATTAAATTAATAAAGGAATAGAAAAAACCTAATAACCTGTAGAAAGGAAAAATGATTTTTTTTATAACTTTTATATAAGATATATAAAGGAAAATTAGTTCACCCCTTAGTGGGCAAATTTGGGTTTTGACATTAGTTTGGGTCAAGGTTAGGGTTCATATATAGGTTGGCCCTTAACTTAATCTTATCCATCTCATTAACAGCCTTTATTAGATTAAGCCAAAAGGGATTAAAAAGGTTTAAAAGGAAAAGAAGGATTTTACACGGAGGGAAGATGTTACAAACATTGACTATTAAGGGGTGTGTGTGTGTGTGTGAGAGAGAGAGAGAGAGAGAGAGAGAGAGAGATAATGGAATGGTGTTATTAGTGAGTAAATATGGATTTTATGAGAGGTAATGGAGATCCATGAGGGTCTTAATTTTTTCTTTATTATATTTTTAATGATTTCATTTAAAAATAAATAAGAACATGTGTGATAAAAGAGAGCAAGAGAAGGTACATGTGAACTCTATCGTGAGCGGACACCTCATCTCCCTCTTTCCACTTTCTATTATATATATAGATGGGGTGTTCTCAAATTTTTTTCTGATGTAGCTTCACCTTCTGTTCAAACTTTCGCAATTAAAAAGAAAAAGGCTATTACCCAATGTTGGTCACAACTATTTGAAGTCTTAGAAATGGTGGTTTTGATCACATAGATTCAAACCCTCGTTCTCATGCTTTGATAATAGTGTCCTCTTAATAGATGATATGATTACGACTCAACAAATAACACCATGAACTAAGGTGATGAATTGACTGAACTGAACCATTTATTGTTTTCTTTTTTTTTTGTGGATAAAATAGTCATATAATGAAATATTTAGGGATGAAGTGGTGGACCAAACATTCAGCAAGGTCGCGCTAACTGAATTATTTATTAAAAGATAAATTAATAAATAATTTAGTTAGTGACACCACTTCACGGAAAGAGTCCTCCAACTCATTTGGTTAATTTATCTAAGAAAGGGAGCCCATCCTTCAGGGTGAGAGCTATGTTTCTCTCACCCATACCCTAATTTGTGTGGATACCATGTGGTATCATTAATGCACGATTTTGCGATTAAATGAAGTGGTTTACCCGTATCCATGGCGTTGAATGCTCATTTATAAAGAATTGCTATATCAACGAGCAGCTTTGGCTGACCGTCTTTTTTTAGAAGTGTCAGCACGGGTTATCATTTCTAACTCAATCCATGGATTTTGGATTCCGTGCAGGTCATAAAAGTTAAATGGAAATATCATATACCCTATACATACTCAAGGAATTTGGCATGACCCTCAGTTATTGTAGTCACAAAGATTGCCATATACAATAACAATAGAACTAGGGCAACTCTCCAACATGTATTTGACAACATACACCCATACATTAGATCTTGGTTTACTCTATAAAGACCTTCCCCTCTTTTGTTTTGGTAAACATTATAAACACCTCCCTCATGCCCACTAAGGGCTTTTTAAATGAGCAACTAAGGGCATATTCTGTAACAATTATTTTTGACATCGAAAGTAGGAAAGCCAAGGTACTTTGAAAATTTGTGATTTTCTACCTTTTTTCTGGCATCTAATTGCAAAAAGTTTGTTTTCAAATATCATATCTAATATTTGAGAAATGAGTAATTTAGAATTTTCCTTTTGTAGTTGGGAATGTTTGTTTACCATAAGTAATAAATTGATTATTAAAAATTAGCATAAGTAATGTTTGCGTACCATTATTATGAATTAATTAATTATTTAATAGAAATATAATTAAATATTTATTATGAATTATGTACAATAGGCAATCCTGCAAGACTCGATATAGTCTATATCAGTTCTCATGCTTCAATTAACATACTTGGGATAGTTTAGATAGAGACCACTAAGGCAATGTTTGGTTTGAAGGAAAAGGAAGGGAAAGACAGGAAAACCTATACAAGGTTTGTAAAGGTTTTCCTACCTTTCCCTTCCCTTCCCTAGTTTTTCCTTCAAACCAAACACTGCCTAAAGGAAAGCCTTTCAACTAATTCTCCTCCTGATTAGCAACCATCAGTTAGTCATTGTTGGGTTTTGAATTTAGGAAGCTATAAGTTTGATTCAGTTCTCTCTATTAGCTAGGACACAACTTTGGACCCAACCCAATTTTGTATCCAACCTCATATCGACGGTTGGTCTGGATAGAGGTATGAATTCCAGCCCAACTCTTAATATTTATGCCTGACTAGCCCAAACCAAATATAAAAGT